GGAAGTGTTGGCATGTGTAAGATCCAGGGCTGGGAGTGGGCCTGGTAGGGGAACTCTGGGAACTCCCCTGCAAGGTTGCAGCTCCATTTGTTGAGCAGAAGATCTGGGGCCGAGGGTGAGCCAGCCCAGGTAAGGCTGCAGCACCTACCAGTTCACGTGAAAGCTGGGGCTGGGGATGGACCTGATTGAGCTAGGCTGCAGCACTCAGTAGCGAGAGCTAGGACTGGGGTAGGCCAGGCTGAATTAGGCTGTGACATTTGCCGGCAAGTGCTAAGACTGGGATGGGCCTTGCCAACTTGGCTACAGCACCTACTGGCACACACAAGATCCAGGACTGGAGGTGGGCCTGGTAAGAACCATTTCTAGGTTGGATCAACTTTCTGCTGAGAGTAACTTCCTAGCTAAGGAACTTGGGTAAGAGCGGGTGCCATCTTAATGACAGATTAACCCATTCCTCCCTTCTCTTCCTTTATCCAAGGTATGGCCCTAATCTTTTGATTCCAGCAGTATGTAGGCAACCCTTACCAGACCCACAAGGTTCAGAATTTTTCCTTCATTGTTAACTTGTAAGAACAGAGAACTAAAGTGATGCTAGTAGAGCCTTGAGTATCTCTACATCATCTGCTTAAATGACTGGCTAACCTGTGGGCCTGAGTTAGGGCCTTTTTGTCCATTATACTGGTGTGGGCCATCTCCCTGGCATATATTCTTCAGTGATACTAGCTAAGCAGGCACACCCACTTGTCTTGGCATGTTTTATGGATGACCCAAGCTGCAAACAGCAACATGTACAAGACATATGCTGTCTTTTTTGTGTATTTCCGGGCACCAAAATATGCCTACACACAGGGATATGTGCATATAGACACATGCATAATCTTTTCTGCCTGGTAGAAATATGCTTCTGTGATGTTCCTTTTACTCCCACACATGCCCCTCTGTAACTGGCACATTTCCTAGTTATTCTCATCTACTCCCTCCCCACAGACCTTTTGTATGTATATTTTGGCACTCATTCCCTTCCCTTCGTTGCACCTAATTCCTTTATTTCTCTCTTCCTTTCTCCGCCTCCCTCCCTCTCCCTCCTCTTCACAACTCCTTAGACAGTTTGTTAAACTATACACTCTTTATTGTCAATGTGCATTTATGAAAAATTCTTCACAGTTATAAAAGTGCATGGTTATAAAATCATCTCCATACGAAGATTGGTGTCTTCTCTTTAGCCCTGTCCCTCCTTGTCCCTCCCACCCCCAAGTCCTCAGCACTCTGCAGGCTAGCACTTGGAAAAACAGAGCTTTGTGGATCAACTCTCCACCCAGTGTGGTGGCAGACACAATGGTAATTTATTAAGGGACCTAGTGACAAGCCTCCCTCACTCCCCTTTTGCCTCCTTCTGGGGCGGGGGAAAGACAGTCATGTTTCTCTAGTTTTGGGGAGATGTCCTTTTGAGGAATGAACAAAGATATCTGCTTATATTCTACTGCTGGAAAGGATGTTCATACTATGTCTACAGGAAAAATGGGGGCTATAAGATTTCCCCTAAAGTTGAGGAGAAATAATTGTTTTGCTTTGTTCAAATTCCATGCATCTGGTTCCTTGAAAGAAGCGGTGAAACTCTTTAGCCACCTGGGGAATGATTTCTGCAAGGTTCCCTAGGAGTTCCTGTGGGAAGGGGTGGATGGAAAGAAGGGTTTTCCTGAGGGTGAAGGGAAGCAACTGGTTCGGAGTGGTGTGTGTGGTGCAGATGTGGGATCTTTTACAAAGAATGATTTTCTTGACGTCAGCCTTGGCTAAGGACAAGAGTTTTCTGCAGAGTTTTCTTTGTAGATGTTATCTGAGTATCCAATGCACCCAAAACCTGGTGGGGTTCTAGCTTAACATATTAAACAGTGCAACAGCCAGATGACTAAGTGAATGATGTCATATAGCTTAACCCAATTCCAGAGCAACCTTTTATGCCAGCAGACAGCCAGCATAAATGGAATCTCAGAAACAGTAACATGGATGCAGAAAGATTCCCCATCACAAATATATTAACCAGTCTGGAACAAGTTGAATGAAGCTTTATGGGAATGAACACCGACATGACTTTCATGGTCATTAAGGATATGGGAACAATTCTAACCAAGATTGCTAGATTACTCCTAGAACTTGCTTCTGATCACCTGAACAGGACAGTGGTAGTGGTGGGAGAAGCAGGGAATTCCTTGGCAATAGGGACGTTGGGTGCTTGCCTCATTGTGCTGTGTTTACTGGAGGCTTTATAGCAGCTGGAGAAACATCTGTTTTTTAAAAGCTGTGTGTCTTGCTCAGAAAGGTTTGCCACCCATGGAGATCAAATTGTGCCATTAGAATGGACACTTGATCTCAAGCGGCATTCAGTGTCTTGTCTGGTTCTAGTTCTATGCAAAGGCATGCATATTTTAAAATATAAACTACATTTCAGAAAACAACAGTCCCTGTGAGATGATTATAGGGGAAAAGTGTGCCCCTTTATGGGAAGCTTAGCTATTTATCAGTACAATCATTCTTAAATACTCCTCTCCAAACACTTGAGGCTGTCAACTAGGCTGGCAGAGAGCAGGTGGCCATCCTTGCTGTGGCAGAGGAATGTGGAGTTTTGCTTCAGATGTCATAGAAGCACTCAGATACTGTGAGACTTGGGAAACACAGGGTCCAGGAGCCTCAGATCTAGCAAAGTGTCCGTGGGTTCCTTTGGTTGGTTAGTTGAGGGGTGGTGTGAGGGGTGAGACTTCTTGGAAGCTGACATGTTACCCTTCTTCATCTGTTTCAGGAAAGTGGGATGATGTACCCCTGCTGGAGCTGAGGGCAAGGTGGAAGGCTTCCATTTTTATTCTCGTTCTGGGCAGCCTTGCCAAGCTCTTCGATTGTACTCTAAAGCTTCCCTGTACCTTGTAGAAGCTGTCACCCTACAGATTTCTCTTCTTCCTTGATCTCTTTTCCCAACATGACACAGTGGGGCTTGAGTGGGCGTGATTAGCACAGCTTCATATTTTACTTCTCCAAACTCTAATTTTTTATACGACTGGCACCATGACCGACAGTTCCAATGTTTTATGTGTCTCCTATTTTGTTTTTTGTGCTGCAGTTCACCCTGTCTTGACTGCATCTGTCTGTAGAGCAGCTGGGTTTTACTGCCCTTTATTTAACTCATTCATTAGCACATTCATGAACCCTGACTTGTAGGGCCCACTTCCTGGCTCTGGGAGGCATTCTCTTCCCCAAGCACCTGTGAAGGCACTGGCAACATGATGCCCCAACTTTGCCACTTAGGCAATCTTGAGACTATTTTTTCATCTGTAAAATAGAATCACTGATGTGTGGTCTGCTTCCTGCACAGAGTTCAGTTGGAAAGAGTCTAGGAGAACAATGCTAAAGCACTTCATTAACTTTCCAGGGCTGAACACACATACGGAAGGTAACGATGAAGCTGATGGAGCTGATGATAAAGATGATGATGACAACAGGATGGTGGGCATTGTGCTTTGCACATTAAGTTACTTGATTCTTGACCCATGGATTAGGCACAGTTTCCCTAAATTGAGTTATGGATCACCTTCCTTCCAGAGTTTATCTAGATAACCTTGGGTAAATCACTCAGCTCTCTAATACTTAATTTGTCTGTCAAGCAGGAATAATAAAAATGACCATGTCGTGTTGCCAGGAGAATTGAAGTAAATGTGTTTATAGAACCAAAAGTGCTCAGAGGAGTGCCTGGTTCTTACTGAGAACACCATCAGCACTTTCTGGATTAGAATGTAGGTACCTTTGGGAGGAAATGTGATGTTCCCCAACTTGGATGGGGCCGTAGGAAGGGCACAGACTTGATCTTACTCCTTAAGTAGTAGATGACTAACCTCTCTGAGTCTTCATTTCCCTGTCTGTAAACTTGGAACAACAGTTACCTCTAGACACTGGGTGTGTGTTAAAGGGATTTGTGGAGAGAGCTTTTCACAGTGCCCAATACTGGCAAAAGGCGCACTAATTAATAGTGCTCTCCCCTTTATGCTTAAATGAGTTGCTTAGAAGGAAATGCAAACCCTCTTGTGGTCATGACTGTGGTGGCCCTGGGCACTGACATCACTGGGTCTATAGCCCACCATGTGCTTTCCTGCTGAGATCCCTGTGTGAGCACCATGGTGAGAGCAGTCACAGGGCTGAGGTCCCAGAGTGCCTGGACTCTTGTACCCCATTGCTGGGCTGCCTGCCTCCCTCTTCTGGAGCCAAGGCTTGGGTGAAAGGCAGGAGATCAAGGTAGGAGAAAGGGCACTGAAGATGGCCATTCTTGGTGGCTGCCAGGGGCCTCCCCAGCAGGCTGCAGTTGGTGATGAAGTACAGGGAGCAGTCACTGGGCGGTGTTCTCACCTGGTGGCTGCTGGTAGGAGGAGACCACTGCATGCAGACGTTCTTCTCTAGAGCCAGTGGCTGGTGGTGCTTAGGCTGACACTATGTCAGAGGGGAGGTTTCAGGTCTGTGTCACACCCCCTCTGGACACCCAAGACACAAGCTCACTGCTCTCTCCACACCTCGCGTGCTTTGGCCCCTGTCATTTGCTTCTGTCTACTCTTCTTGTTCACATATTAAAGTAGACTTTTATTTTTGGATGACTCAGCTGACAAATCATGTCACTTTTAGAATTCTTGTGGACTTTGTATGCACAGTTAATGGCTCTGCTTGTGAGCTTCCTTAACTACGTGTCTGGTGTACTGACATGTTCTGTTAAAGGGAACAGTCTTTTCAATCTCTCTCTTCTACTACCAGGAAGTGGCTGAAAGCAAGGACTGGGTCCACTCACCCTACATTCCCAGTTCCTACCACAGTGTAGAGTTCAAAGTAGACACTTATACAAAGTGAGTTTCCTGACCTTCAATCTTGACTGAGGTGGCTGGGGGCATCATGGAACCAGAGTGGGCAGGGAGAGTGTCTGGTGGTCAGCGGTAGTGGCAGCTGGCAGCTTGGAGGGATGAGAGGTGCCAATGTCAAATCTCTTCCTCTTCATTGGCCTTACTCCAACGGTGGCAGCAGTTGGCTGTGATGCCCAGGAGGAAGTTGGTTGCCACAGATGCGATGGAAACCACAAAGCCCACAAATGCAATGAATAGGTAATCATCCAAGGTCAGGGTCAGGTGGCAGGCTTTGAAGCTCTCCTCAGTGAGTGAGAAGAGGGGAGCACCCTCCACTTCGGGGGGGCCCCGGCATTCGGCCAGCTGAGAATCTGCAACATAGAACCCGGCAAGGGTGAGCCACTTAGATGAGAGAGATTGGACTGAGGAGTCCCTTACTCATCCCCAAAGAAGAAAGACATTCACTGATTTCCTCCCCATGTGTTAAAAGATTCATATTTGAGCCCAACATTGTGGTACAATGGGTGAAGCTACTGGTTAGGATACCAGAAACATATGGGTTCCATTTCATGTCTAAGAGAGTCTTTAAAATCCAGCTCCCTGCTAATGTCTTGGGAAAAGCAGCAGAAGGTGGCTCAAGTGTTTGGGCTCTTGCCACTCACACAGGAGATCTGGATGAAGCTACCAGCTCCTGCCTTTGGCTTGGCTCAGCCCTGGCCATCGCAATCATTCTGGGAGTGAACCAATGGATGGGGAATCTCTCTCTCCCCATTTCTCTCTGTATCTCACACTTTCAAATAAATACATAAATATTTTTTTTAAAAGACTTACCTTCCTCAGTACTCTTAAAAATCTCTCATGATAGCTTTTGTAGAACTGCTTTTACAGTGGGAAGATCACTGCTTAGAGTTTACTAAGCTGCTGAAATTCGCACAGGTCCTACCAATGGCAGAAGAGCGACTTTGTGGGGGCACCCCTTGTCTCTCACAACAGCCTCCTGATTGCACTCTGGACTTCTGTCCTTAGTCTACCAGCAGCCTGATTCTTTCAGATTTGAAGTCTCATTGTGTCCTTCTCTGCTTGAAACCCTCCCTCAGCTTCCCATCGTCATAACTGCGAAAGTCAAGGTCCCCACTGTGGGCTCCAAGGACCCTGTCTCATTTTCCATGATCCTAAGCGGGTCCACTGTAAGAGGGAGGAGGGGATGTCTTTACCCCATCACGTGGGAGCTTCTCCCCTGGATCTCTGTGTAATTCAGCCCCTCACTTCCTTTGGGACTTGAAGCAAAATAACATCCCCATTTCACTTTCCCTCCGGCCCCCATCTCACAGACTTCACTCTAGTTTATCACTGCCAGTTGGTTTATTGTCTGAATTCTGCTTGAATACGAGGTCCTGCCATGGTGTCGTTCACATCAGAGCAGTGTTGTCTCCATAGTCAGTGCTCTGTGGTTCTGGTCAGTGAAAACAGGAGCCCAGCTTACTGCAAAGTGCTGGGTATTTCTACTCATCCGTGAGGCTTCTTCACATGCGCAGAGGATGGAGTCAAGGATGGGCTCTTTACCCTATCTTGGCTGTGTGATTGGAGATTCGTGTTTTAATCTTTCTATGTTTTGGTTCATGATAATATAAATAAACAAGGATAACAATGACATCTGCCTAGCCACGATTCAGTGGATTAACACGTAAAGGGACTGTTCCTGGTGTGCATGAAACACTCGGCAAGTGTGAGCTTGCACTGATGCCACAGGCTGGTTCTCGACCTGTTGGTGTGGGGGATTGGTATTCTGTCTCACTCTCCCTTGGAAATCAGAGTGGCAGTTAGGCCATGCAGTAGGAGGCCTGGCCAGTCACGCTTTTGTTTGGTGGATAAATGCTCTAAGCTCTTATCTTAGGAAAATGCTTTTGCTTTTGCTTTTTTTTCCTTTTTGGATCTCATGCTCTGCATCTATAGAAGAGGAGAAACCAACTCAAGTTTTCTAAGAGAATCAGGGTGAAGGCATTTTCTAAATTATAGGGTCCACCACTGCTATGTATCCATTTGGAGGTTTTTTGAGGACAGAGAATAAAGTGATGGAAGTGGTTTGATTGTTGGAGAAGCGGATGGGCATCACTATCCTTGGACATAGGGGTCAGGTTTGGAGGGCGGAATCAAGCCTTTGCATGACCCAAGAGAACATGGGACCCAGCCCTGCCCAATGTTAGGCTGGTGTCTGTAGTTGACTTCCATGGGATGCTTGTTCCGAAAACCAAATGATATTTAACTTCAAAGCCTGTGTGTGCCTGCGGGTATCAGTTGTGAGACGGTAAGAACAGGCATATATGGGTACACTCATGTGTACTAGACTAGCTGGAAGACGCTGTGGGCCAGAAGAGACTGTGACCACACCTGGCAGGGCCGTCCAGGATGTTGATGTGATCCTGAATTTGTCAAAGCTCTCTGCTAAGCCAGGGAACCAGTTTTGAGTCAGGTTTGTTATCCCAGCAACTTCCTTAGTACCTTCTTAGCTAGATTCCCTCTCCACTACCTCTGAAAGCATAAATAATATGAGAATTCCAAGGAAAAGAAGAAAAAGGCAGGAAAAGTAGCAGAAGCAGAACTACAGGGAAGAGCATCACCTAGTCCTGGGCACGCTGGAGGGATGTTCTACCTTGCCCCTCCCCATCAGAGGGGACCTTCTGATAGTGTCCTAGGTTTCAGGCAGTGGCCTGCTGGCTTTGTCACCATGGCCTGTGGACAGTCACCATTTCTCTCTGGAGCCTGGGTCCCTCACCTGGGTTGAGACTGCCTGGACTTCTCCCACTCGGTGAGCAACAGAAGAGGAGTTGTCTCTGGCTGTGTTGGCAGCTTAGTGCCTGGAGCAGCCTTTTTCTTGTTAGTGCACAGGAGAGGTAGACTCAGTGGTGGGAGATTGCTCCAGGCAGCCTCCCCCTCCTGTCCCCCACCATCCCCCCATCTCAGTCCCTAGCTATTTTGGTCTCAGAGTACTTCCTCCCACAGCCCTGTGGAGACACTGGAATCGTGACCCAAAGCCCATCCCTGCTACACTATTTCGGTCTTGGGCACCCCACTCAGCCATCCCCTCCTTCCTCCCTCACTCAGCAGCACTTTTTCTGAACACGCTGAGCACAGCTCTGGGGAAGCCCCTGGGAAAGTGCCCCAGGCTCCTCCTGTTGTTTCCTGCTAGTTGCTGGTGCCAAGAAGGGATGATGCTATCACCTAGGGCACAGGTGTCTGTGGATGAGTTTTGCCTGCCTCAAGGCCTGGCCTGACACTGCTGCATTGAGACCAGGCTGTCAGATCTGTGTGATGTGGTCTCCTCCAGGCCCAATCCACTTGGGGTTAGCTGGCTAAGCAACCACATCTATGCTCCTTCTGCCAGCACCCCCACCTGATGTCTAAGCCTCAGGACTCGGCTCTTTGACCAGTCCAGATCTCTGCACGGACTCTCCTGGATTCTCCCAGAGGAAGGTCAGAGTTCAAACACTGACTTAGTAGCTATGTGATGCTGTGTGAACCTTCCTGTGCTTTGCTTCCTCTATAGAGTGGAGACCTCTTTAAGGTTCTTGGGAGAATAGGATGGGTTAAAACCTGGAATATACTTGGAATAGGGCCTGGAAGACATTAGAACCATAGGAAGCATTAAGACAAATAGCTTTCGTTATTTCTGTTTCTCCAAGAATTTTCTCAGCTCTTCGGATACTTGAAAAAGTCTGGTAGAGAAGAACAGGACTTACACATCAAACAAATCTGGGTTTTACCTGCGTCCCTGCCACTCCTTCAGTGAGTGGCCTTTTGCACTGTGCTAACTCTCAGTTTCTTTACCTGTCAAATGGGACCACAACAAGCAGGGTCCCCTGAGGAATGCCAAGTTCTCATGGTGAAAGCTCAACCCACACGATGACCCATTCTTACTCCCTTTCTACCTGCTTGCCTTGTGAGGTGTTAAGTACCCCCAGGGCAAGGGTATGCCAGTTTCATAAGTGAGTGGGACCTCAGATCCTAGCCTGCATTGCCAGGACTCAGCAAGTTAACAGAGATCATTGCACACAGTAGGCGCTCAAGATCTCTAGGTACCTCCTTCTGCTTTGGAGACTTCACTGCTAGTGAGATCTCCTTTCTGGCCACCCAGTCCTGCCGGCCCCCTTACCCGCTGTGCAGCGCTGGATCCGGTTCCGCAGCCACTTCAGCAGGGGCTCCATGGTGCAACCACATACCCAGGGGTTACCTCCTATCTGCAGGGTCACCAGCCCGGGCAGCCCCTCCAGGGCCTCAAGGCTGAGGAAGGCGAGCCCCCCGTAGCTGAGGTCTAGGTCTCGGAGCTGCAGGAGCCCCTGGAAGGCCTGGGGATGCACCCTCCGCAGCCATGGGTTGTGGCTTAGGTCAATGTGCACGAGCGCATGGGCCTCCTGGAACATGTCGGCCGGCACGTGACTGAGGTTGTTGTAGCTCAAATCCAGGTGTGCCAAGCGCTTGGCATGGAGGAAGAGGCCCGGAGGCAGCTCGGTCAAGGAATTGTTGCGCAAATCCAGCACTCGGAGTTCCATGTAGCACGTGAGGTAGCCGGGGGGCACGGTGGCGATGCGGTTGTGGGCCAGGCTAAGGTTGTGAGTGTCCATTGGCAGGTCTGGGGGCACAGAGAAGAGCCGCTGGCCGCTACAATCTACCACCTGGTTTCGACACGTGCAAAGGACTGGGCAGCTGGTGCCAGCATCCGAGTGCATCAGTCTGGCTGCTAGGAGCAGGGAGATCAGCAGCATGGCTGGGTGAGTGGGCCCAGGCCAGGGAAGCTGGGTCCAGGTGTCACCCATCTTGGACTGCTGCCGACAGCAATGCTGAAGGGAGCCCGTGGGGGCTGCTGTGTGCTTGAAGCCAAAAGTCAGCGGCACAGGTAGGAAGGCAGCTACATCAGGGGTCTGAGCCACAAAAGTGGGGCTTCTGAGCAAGTGGGGTCATGGCTGGAGCCTGTCCTGGAAGCCTCTGGGGGTAGTGACTTCCTGAGATCTGTAGGAAGTTACCTCCTGGAGCTCAGTAGGGGCAGGCCACCCCACCGAGGCCCCCACTGGGGACTCAAAATATGATTAGTACTTGACAAAGGATGGGGACCCATAGGGTGCTGGCCCAGCTGCCAGCAGGTGTGGGAAGGGCCCCTGTTGATCTTTCGTGACCCTCTGGCCCATGCCCGCTGGGTGCTTCCTCTTGGCTTTGTGTCTGAGAGGTGGGAGGGAGGCAACGAGGAAGATGAAAGGTACCCTTTAAAGGTCCTGGCACCTCTTCTAAGAGAGCTCAAGCCTTGCCCATGTCTGGGACTCATGAGGAAGCTGGGCTGTGCTTGAGGCGGCAGCATCCGTGACTTCAGCAGCCATGTCTCCTGGTGACCTAGTGGGCTTGAGTCCAAGGGGGACCAGGCTGGGCAATTTGCAGAAGCAGCTCAGGGCAGTGTCGCTGACGATGGGCCTTCCAGAAGCTGGAGACTCCTCGGCCTCAGTGGCTGTTGGAATCTCCAGGGAGGGGAGGACCCAAGGTGATGCCCACTGCCTGGGCTGCAGAGGAGGGAAAGAGCCATGAGTCCTGCAGGTGCAGGTTGGGAGCCGGCTAGGAGAGCTGGGGCCACTTCTCCAAGCTGGCGGCTCCCTCAGTGCAACAGAGTCGCTGGCAGCAGGTGGAGGCAGAACTCTGTCAACAAGGAAAGCACTCACTCAGCCAGGAAATCCAGTGTCCTGGACACCCCTGCCGCTCACCTGTGGCCCTTGCCCCACCCTCTCCCCCTCCTTCTTTAATTCTCTGAGTTCCCTCTCCCAGGGTGGCCCCCACTCCTCTAAGAGTGCCACCCACTGACCCTCCCCGCCCCAACCTGCAGCTGGCTTCCTCTTCAGAGCTTCGCTCTCCTTTGCACCTGACACCCCACCCCAGGGAAGCCTTGTATCCACACTCCAAAGGTTTGCACATCCTTACCGAATCCTTCTGGCGCTCCGCTCCTGTCTCTGCCTCTCTCTCACACACACATCGTTCTAGTACTCCCCCCCCAGTATTTTGTCCTGCCCAGGTTCTGGCCAGCTTCCCTCTACACATGTACTCCTGCAGAGCCCCCTCCCCAGTCTGCTCTCACCATCTTTCACCCCCAGTATATACCCCTCATCCCAGCATCCTTTTCCACAACACTCCCCACTCTTGCTCCTTTCTTCCCCTTCTCTGACCCCCTGGAATCCGCATCTACACTCTTTTGGACCAGGGGCAGACAGCAAGACACAGTGGAGTCAGTACCCCGGCCCTATGTGGCCCCTTGCCCTTTCCCTTCCACCTGCTGTACTCTCTTGTCCTCCCCTCACCCCCAGCCCCAGCCCTGCTGGTCTTCCCCACTGCCTCCAGCCTCCATCCCACCCACCGGGAAATCACCCCAGCTCCCCTTCCAGCAGCCTCTTTTCTCTGAGCCCCAAGGTCTCCCCGTGCACACCCACAGGCCCTCGTGAGCCTACTCACTCCGTTGCAAGGACACAGCCATCAATCTGCAGCAGACGCGGTCTCCTCCCTCATCCTGGAATCCCCGCTTGCTCGTTCGCTCGCTCGCTCGCTCTGCTGGATTCAGAACAGATTGCTCTCCCGGCTCGTCCCCTCCCCCGGCCTCTCCTCCTCCATGTCTCCTGGATCCCTGGCCAGCATCGCCTGGGATTTCCTGTCCTACGGTCCCTGTGCTCCTGCTTTGACCTAACAGGGGAATCTGAGAGAGGATGCTTAGAAGAAAAGTTCACAGAATCTGAATGTTCCTTTCTGAAACTCAGGTGGTGCTGAAGCTGCCTGGATACTGGGCTTCCGCCAGAGCCAGGTCTTCCCCTCCCTCGTCCGTCCCTCCCTCTCTCTCCTCCCTCCATCCTTTCCCCCCTCTACGCTCCCTTTTTCACTCCCCGTTTTTTCCTCGAGGGCCAGGTACTGACGTTTCACTGTCTCTTAGCAACTGCCTCCACGGTTCTGAGCAACTGGAGAACTGGCTTTGGACCCCACCAAGACCAGAGATGGAGGCACTCAGCAGGATTCACAACCACCCACAGGATCCTAGTGACAAGCCGGGGGGCAGGGAAGGGAGACAAGGGCAGGCAGGCACCGAGAGAGGCCGAGGAGTGCAGAGAAAAAGGTGCACAGTGGGAGAGGATGCAGGGGGGCCAGGTGTGGGGAGAGACCAAGGTAGGTGAGACGTTGTCTCTATTCCTTGATTGACTCTGTGACCTTGCCCCGTGAGCCCTTTGGGTGTAGGAGACTCAGCTGAAGACCCAATTCTCCTTAGCATAGGGTTGAAGATTCTTTGGAAGGCGGAAGGACCAGCTGCTGGTGTAGCTGTCACGGGCTCCAGGGATACTTGAATCTGATGCTGGAGGAGTGGAAGCTTGGGGTCCATTCTTTCTGCAGACCCCAGGAACCTTGCTGTTGTCTGGTTTCCATCACTCCAGCCTTTTTGTTCCCTGTTTCCTCTCTAGGATGACTGCAGTTGAGGGTGAAATCTTGTCTTCTTGCAGATTTAACAGACACGTCTCTAACTGTCATGCATTTTAAAAACTGATTTGACTGGGTCATTTGGCCCAAGAGTTGGCTTCTTTCTTTGTCTGACTACATAGTTTTGAACACTCGGTGTGTGCTGGGTACTTGGCTGGAATGTGGGCCTTTACAGTCTCTAGCAAGGATGGAGACTGCCCTCGAGGGGCTCACATGGGCCCTGTGTTTTTTCTCAGTTATCCTGGGGCCTTGTGTGTGTACAGACTCTTGGCGCTTAAAAAGTTCCCCAAACTGCTGCTAACATCCTTCCTAATGATGACACCTCTCCCTGTGTGGTGATACAACAGTGGCTTTGTGTGTGGCTTTTGCGTTGTGCTGGCTCGAATCTGTCACGTAACATGGCAGCCACTGCACCTGTACTTCTATACTGAATCAGCTGGTGTCAATGTGATTTGCACGCCTCTCCCACTTAAAGAAGGAAATGGCTGCTTGATCTCATTGATTAGTTTAGAAATACAATTATAATCTTAACTCAGAAAATACAACAGTGCTTTGAAACAAGTAATTGGTTTTAACTGAAGACCTTGGCTAACATCTTCCCTCTTTATTATTATTATTATTACTTTAAAGATTTATTTATGTATTTGAAGGGTAGGTGAGACACACACACACACAGAGAGAGAGAGAGAGAGAGAGAGAGAGAGAGAGAGAGAGATCGTCCATCTACTGGCTCACCCCTGAGATAGCTCCTAGGGCCAGGGCATTGGCCAGCTGAAGTCAGGAGCCTCGGCTTCATGCTGGGGCAGGGAACTCATCGTTTGGGTCATTTCCTGCTGCTTTCCTAGTGTAGCAAAGAAGGAAGTGGATTGAAAGTGGAGCAGCTGGGACTTGAACTATGATCAACTTGAATGCTGGTGCTGCTGCAGCTGATGGGCTTAACATGCTGTATGATTATGCTAGTTCCAAGCATCATCATGCTTTATAAGATCAAACTTGAAAACAGTGGAAAGTGTGATGATCTTACATGAGGCTAAGAAAAGTTTTCTTCACTTTCATGATACGAAGTTTATACTTGCAATCGGAATCAATAAAACTACTAACTAACTGCTAGCAATAGTTATTTAAGACATAGTACCTAGGGAAAATATCTTTTCATCAGGTGAAAACTTTGTTTTCCTAACCTTTGAAGTAAGGACTATAGTAAGGGTAGTTCACTGGTGGAGTAATTTTTCTTATATATGATTAATGGAGTCCTTGGAACAGTATGGGGAGCAGTGCAGGTGGGTTTGCTAAGCAAACAAATAAGATAAATAGAAGAATATAAAATTGCTCAGTTAGCTATCCAGAAAGGAAAATAAATAAGCTGCATAAGAGTGAGAAGAAAGGAAATACATAATAATTGCAAGTGACTTGAATGGATTCTTGTGCAAGTCAAGTGGCAGAATCTACAGGAAGGTGCAATGCAAGAATATGATCATTGCATAGCACACCTTCTGTCAGTGGGACGAGAAACCTAGAGTGACTCTTTTACTTAAATCATCCCATGAATTGTTGAAGAATTCTGAGAATCCTATGATGCACTACATATCACGAAAAATGCTTCTTCTCAAACCAGTCTGAGAAACAGTGACTTAAAAAAAATATGGAGCACATCCATTGATTGGAAGATTTCTCATGGCTTTGACACAATCATAGTGACTCTGCAGGTGGCAGCAGTGGAGTGGAGCAGGTTGCATAACATCCAGCATGTCCTATAACTTATTTTGCATCTTTCTTTTCTCTCTGTAAAGGTGTTTTAAAAAAAGATTTATTTATTTTTATTGCAAAGTCATATATATATATATATGGAGAGAGAGAGAGAGAGAAAGAGAGAGAGAGAGAGAGAGAAAGAAGGAGAAACAGAGAGAAAAATCTTCCCTCTAAATGCCTTCACTGCAATGCTAGCAACTATTTTCTATAGAGGTCATTTTTTTTTTACACACAAAAATGAAACCTGTATCATTTTATGAGAAGTATTATATCTATGAATAATAATACAAAAATCTGGGTTAAGACACCTTGCTGGCTGGTTGGCTGCTCCCTTCTGTCATGTAGTTTTCTCCTATACAGAAGCCTTGCTATGGATTCAAATTTGAGACCCAGAGAAATGACATATCATTATGTATCATGGCCTTTTGGGGTCTCCTGCAAGTTACTGAAACTCTGAATGCTCCATCCATGAATGTCAAGCATTTGCTTTCCTGGGAAAACACAAAGAAACCAATCAAAGAGTTGTAGAAAATTAAAGGGGTTGAAAATCATTTTCATTATTATAATTTCCTGAATGTGTGGCAGATTACTTGTAATGATGACAGAGCCTTTTAAATA